GTTCCTGTCACAAACCAACATGCAAAGTACTCGCGGGGCGCCCGCGCATGCTCCAGATTTGGAAGCAACGTGCATGTTTTATTGTTTTTGACGTGGATGGTGGTGGGGTGGTGGGTGGTGGTGCTGGGGGGGGCGTTGTCTTGAGTGCCCTCATGGGTCCGCGTTGGATGCTGGTTGGGTGGGGGAGGGGATGCAGTAATCAAACTTCCCGCCCGAAGGACGGCTGTCTTGTTCAGTCTCACCCGCCCTCCCGCCACATGAGTAGCAGTCGAGTCTCAGCATCGGCAGGGGCCGCCATCGACCGTGATCAGGAAGCAGTGTAGACACCAGCGGGGTGCGCGACGCCCGCGAGATGCGTCGCACCTGCCATTTGTATATACATACATACGTATGTCTGTATGTCTGTATGTCTGTATGTCTGTCTGTGTGTCTGTATGTCTGTATGTCTGTATGTCTGTATGTCTGTATGTCTGTATGTCTGTATGTCTGTATGTCTGTATGTCTATCTGTCTGTCTGTCTGTATGTCTGTATGTATGTATGTATATATACATGTATGTGTGTGATTAAGCGTGTGTGTATGTGCGTACGACTGTATGTGTGTATGTGTGTATGAGTGTATGTGTGTACGTTTGTATGCATGCATGTATGTATGTATGCATGTAGGTATCTGTGTATATATACACATTCAGTATATAGAATACCCTGGCAAGTAAGCAGCAAACAGATCGCGGGGCTCCCACACATGATCGTTGCCAGAGCACCTATTTAGTATCGTTTTTTTTGACAGGGGTGCTGGGCTTGTGTGCAGCAGGCAACATGCTGGCCCCCCCTCGCCCCTTTCAGCAAGTGCGCTGTGACCGCTCGGTGCCATTGCATGATACAGATTTTGCCGTAACGTACATGCTATACTTTTTTTTTGAAGAGGATGTTGGGGGGTGTTGGCATTCCACAGAGCAGGCAAAATGCCGCCCCTTCGCCTCCCTTGCCACAAGTCAATGCAACATTATCGCGAGGCGTCTGCGCATGATCCAGATCTCGGTGCAAAGTGCACTGTGTATTGTTTGTTGCAAGGGATGATGGGTGGGTGGGTGGTGTTGGCATTGCACACGACAGGCAATATGTCGCCCCCCCCGCCGCACCTATTAAAAAACAATGCAAAGTGATCGCGGGGCGTCCGCGCATGCGCCAGTTTTTGAGGCAAAGTGAATTTGACTTTGTTTTTTGACCGGGATAAGGGGGAGGGGCGTCATGGTCCTGGGTCTGTCGCCGGCCAGGTGGAGGAGAAGGTGCATAGTAATACGGAACAGTATTCAAGCTACCCCATTCTGCAAGCCGTGTCGCTCACTCCCACCAGCCCTCCCATTACATAGGTAGCACTGAAGTCTCAGCACAGGCAGGGGCCGCCATCGACAACCATCGGGAACCAATGAAGACGCCAGCCAGGTGCGTCATATCGGGCAATATGTCGACGGCCCCTTCATCCATATCAAAAACTAACTCGAAGTGACGGCGGGCTTGCGAACATTGTGTATTGTGTATGGGTGTGCTCCCGCAATCACTCTGCTATCCCCCCCGCCGTCCCTGGTAAAGTGAACTGTGTATTTCTTGTTGAAAAGGATTTTGGGCCTGCACACAGCAGGTAATTTAAACATCAACGCAAAGTCATCGCGGGGCGTCCGCGCATGATTCCGATTTTGGTGCAGGGTGAACTTTGGCTTTTGTTTTTGGAAGGGATGTCCTGGGGTGTTGGCATCTCATGCATCAGGCAATCTGCGAGCCCCCCCGCCGCCCCTGTCAAAGCCAATCGACAGTGGATTTTGCGTCAAATTGTAGTTTGTATTTACGTGTTGTAAGGGATGGTAAGTGATGTTAGTATTGCACACGGCAGGCAATATGCTGGCATCCCCGCCGTCCTTTTCAAAAACATGCAAAGTGATCGCAGGACGTCCGCGCATGATGCAGGTTTTGGTGTACACTGTATTGCTAAGGCCTTACGGCCAGTGCCGCCGACCCTGAATACCTCGGCCCTCGAGGGTAACGGGATGCGTGGTAAGACGTCGGAGGTAAATGAAGACGTGGCGGAGGAGGAGGAGGCGGAGGAGGGGGAGGAGGAGGAGGAGGAAGGGGAAGAGGAGGAGGAGGAGAAGGAGGAGGAGGATGATGATGAGGAGGAGGAGGAGGAGGAGGAGGAGGAGGAGGGGGGGGGGGGGGAGGAGGGGGAGGAGGAGAAGGAGGAGGAGGGAGGAGGAGGAGGAGGAGGAGGAGGAGGAGGAGGAGGAGGAGGAGGGGGAGGAGGGAGGGGGGAGGGAGAGGGTCGAGTATCTGCCCCCCCCCCCCCCCCCCCCTGGGTGGGGAGGGGAGGGGTCGCCACGACTACGATTTCCTTCTGTTTCGTGTTCGATTTCCTTTTATTTCGGGCGACGACGATGACGACGACGACGACGACGGTGATCCACGGAAGACGACGACACCTGGATGCGTCTTCCACGCGCCGACAGG